TCACGTTGTTAGCTAACATGTTTTAATGCTAGTAAAAAGGCTTGCCTAACCCAAGACTGGAGGGGAGTCTAGCGGAGCCATGCGCATATGGGCGTCTGATCGATATTAGCTGTGGCGTACGCATGTGCATTCTAGTCCTGTGCACACTGCTGCCCCATTGGTCAGTCCCGTCTCGACTGACACCGTATCAGCAGTTCTTACCGTCTTGTGTTCACAGTGGGCACCCCAAGAGCACGGAGCCACAAATTCGGCAATGCAGTTCATAGTAGTCGACTTTCACCCTTTCTATTGGATACTGGGGTCGTTCACTAAACCAAATTCGAGACTCAGGATCGATTCCAGAATCGCTTATAACAAGTATAGTACAATGCTATAATCGACTTTAAATATGGAGGGGACTGTGACGTAGTATTGTACCGGTTTCCAATGCAATTTTCGCTACGCCCAAAAAATTAGAGTTGACTTTTCATGTTTGTGAAGTACGGTAAACCTCATCATTTCTAACTCGTACACACACACACAACTTTGAATGTTCTGCCATGGAACGATATTTCGTCGAGACAATTCTGATTAGGGGTGCGGTTGGCAGGTTTCATGTCCAGCGTCAACGCGAAGCACGTGGGAGCTTAATGAGATTGTATACTGTGTTAAACTGAGAATACCCGATAATCAACTTACAGGTGCGCCATCAGATGATGTAGAGGGCCAAGATGGATAGAAGGTTTCTTTTAGCGGTGAATTTCCCACTATAATAGGGCACCGAAGGCGCCGTGCAGCCGCGGTCACGGATAGTTATTGTGCGTCGCCTTAGTCCGCACAAGAGCCGTTTGGCGACCTTACTCAAAACAAAGAACAAAACAGAATAAGTACAGCTCATGGGGCATTGTAAGATATCTGCTAGAGTGCTGGCCCTTTCTGAATTGCAAACGATAGTAAATAAGAGTTTCTCGACACTGCTGTGAGAAAGTTCGGTGTACCTGCTGCACGCATGCGCGTGGCAGGACGGAGACAGCAGTTCGGTCCAGTGGTAGACCAGGCTTCCTGTGAGGGCTCCTCACTGGAGAGTTGAGGTGCGATGCTTAGACCTATGATATGCCTGCAGAATACGGAGTGAGAGGACACCCCCCTTCTCAGAGTTGAACTCCCATTCTAATTGATGGCAACCGAATTCTCTACGCAGTTGGCTCCATCAGCTTTCTTCAACGGCAACGATGACCTGTCCATAGCCGGTGACAGTCTCCTGAAAACCACTTATTCGTCGTTGTCGTCAGCTGCTGTCCCCAAGGAACACTACTACAAGACGAAGCTCTGTGTTTTCCACACTCTTCAAGGTCGATGTGTTCATGGTGTCAACTGTACCTACGCTCACGGTGTAGATGATTTGGTGTCTCTCAGCGGGCTGCTTGACTCACCTCCTTCTCCTCGTGGTTATTATGGAAATCCCAAGTCTCTTCCGGGCTCTCTTGGTGGGCACTTTCCCCCAATATTGCGCTCGGCTGGCAAACGCAACAAGCATCGCTATGATGCTCATGGGACTCTTCGTTCGGCGGACGCCTTGGGCCGTGGTAGACGCATGAGTCGTAGACGAACAAGGCCAAGGCTATCAGCTGGAAGACCATGGACTACCCTACGTTTACCTCCAGCAGAGGACCTGCTTTCTGGGGTTCGCACAAGTATTGGCGAAGAAAGCCTCCTCTCACACAGCTCGCTATACTCCACAAACGATAATAAGTTCGACAACGGCGATTATATAAATTACCTGCCATCTGAGGAGAATACTTGGACTGTTGATGACGCAGAGTTTTGTCGAAATGAAGATGCTGCTTCACAACTCTTTGGGGAAGCTCTGCACCTCCTCGATGACAATTCAGCTGAGTATGATTCGTGCGCTTCACGCAACATGCACTATTGTCATTCGTTTCAACCTTATCACTAGAGGTAGATCTGATTCCTCTTAACCTGGCGTATTTCGGTTCATGATTTCATCTCGTCGTTTCGTCGCTAAAGTCTGGCCAAATGTATTAACTTTCAGTTTCGCACACGGCGGCAGTGCCCAAATGAATAGGTCCCTCTCTATTGCGTGGCAATAAAGAGGGATATCTTATTAATAGGAACTCTCTGTGCGACTTTCACAAATGTCGCTCTTAGTGCTTTCTCATCACAAGTGCCGGCCTGCGTACCTAATGGTACTATTAGAGGTTACTTTCTGCAGTACATTCGGTACTCGGCTAACTAGGGCGGTACATGCTCGACTGCTTGGTAGCTCCCATTTTTCACCTTCGTATGGTTCCGACCCCTTCCTAGGCACACGCTTGGTAGGGCTCGTTGCCGTTACATTTATTCAATTTTTCACAGAATGATTCAGTCTTTCCTGGTCGATCTTGTCGTTGTTGATTTATAAATCATTCAATAGATCATATCCATCGACTGTTTCGAGGGGAAACTGTCCAGGGTAGTCTCAGAAGACCAGTAAGGATAATGCGCGATTCGTGACGAAAAAGAACTGCTACTAGCAGCCTGCTAGTCTGATCAGTTGAGTATTATGCTGAAATGCAAGTCGTAGGGACACGGTACTGCCGTGACGGTAACTTCACTCACAGTACAGCCATACATACAACTTTTGAGGGATGACATTTCGCGTTTGGTTCTGTCAAGCCAGGAATCCTGGCACGATGTGGCGCGGTGTAGAGCGCGCCAAGTGGAATATGGAGGACCGCTGGGTGCAAACTACCAGGAATGCATACCACTCGAGTTCAAACTATTCAAGTCATGGGCATTTCTCATAGGGCATAGCTTGGAGCACTTATACTTGGCGAGCGTGCGGTCTTTGTCTACTCGAACTACATGCGAGCCATAGAAAATATCACAGGGGCGCTGAGAGGCATTATCAACAAATGCTTTCTCAGTTGGGCTGTCGCCGCACAACTGTGAGCGCTGGATATCCACGTAGAGCTGTGATACACTCCTCCAAAGAAAAGTATTGGGAACTCAAAAGCTGACTCTAGGGCTCTTACGGCAGCCTACGTCACACTCAGTTTGCCTCTAAGAGTGTTCCATTATCCCAAATTCCTCTGTCACGGGTGGTATTGTGATAGCAGACGGTAACGGTGTTGAAAAAATCATATGGAGAAGACGTGCATGCTCTAGGTCGATCCCTCTGGCACTTCCTCGCTACGGGTGGTAGTAGTTGTGCGCATGCAGAATGAGACTGTGTGGGCACATCTGTGACATCTGTCCCTTCTGCAACTCGATAAAGGAAGGAGACATTCATCACTTTCTCTTCCACCGCACTCACTGGTCTCGGCATTGGGCCGACCTGGAGATAGCAGTGAATGGTAGAGGAATCCCATACCCACCTGAGCAAGGCAATACTCTCG